GGCTCATATTACCTAGGTAATCGATGACCTAAACCAAACGCCCCCTAAAGAAATTTAAGAGGGATATAGTGATTATGTGGACAACTTTTTTCTTTCTTTTGACTGCAATAAATAATGGTTGACTTGTACTCTAGAGTCTAGTCATACTTGAGGTCACAGTAATCCCATGTTCTCCGTTAGACGGAGTTGTTTAGGCACTTATTACTTCCATTTATAGTTTTGTTCAATATTCAGGTCCTGTCCTTCCTGACTTCCTGTAAAACAAAAACGCGTAAAAGTGGAACTTGAATTGTGCCGTGCACTTCAATTTATTTCTGCTAGCTAGTAGCTACCCTTTTACACACTTCGTATATGATTACCTCACCGTCTTTCATAATACAATCCTACCCTAACATGTATTTAGTTCCAAGAAAGGAATTAAAAAAGAAAGAATTGTGATTCTGTGAAAAAATATAAGGTGAGAATAAAGTAAAAATTCAAATTATATTCTTTGGTAGGGAATAATTGATGGAAAAAATAGTATAAAAGAGCATTGTAAGTGACTATTTTGTGGTACAAAAATATGTGGGGTCCATTTTCAAATTTGGTCGGGTCAAAGTGAGTTTGGATTCTTCGTAGTGAGACGAAGAAATTAATATATGAGTTAATTATCGAAATGATCTATCGGTTATAGCGAAATTACCAATTTGGTCCTTGACTATTTTTCTGACTAATTAAGTCCCTCAACTTTAAAAATCTTAACCAATTTGGTCCTTTGTTTGTTTTTCCGTTAGACATCCATTAACTCATGACCAAATTGGTACGTAACTTTGCTATAGTCAAGGGACCATTTTAGTAAATAAACTTTCAGATGAAATGGTGCATGTGATTAGGGGTGGGCAATTCGGTTTGATTCCTGAACCGAACTAGTTCGGTTTGGTAATATACCGAACAACCGACGATAATGGATTTTTGAATACTGAACGGTTCGGTAAAAGATCGAACCGAACCGAATACCCTTTTTTTTAAAGAAATAAATAAATAAATAACAACAAAAAAAATAAAAAAAGAATAATAATAATAATAACAACAACAACAACAACAAGAATAATAATAATAAAGTAAATCCAAGTCCCTTGCTGCCTGTTTCGCCGTTCATCTCATATTATCACTGGTATCTATCTTAAATTTTTTATTTGATTTCTTTATGACTTGTTCTTTACTTTGCAGTTTTGTTGTTTGATGTAATTGTTCGTTGCCTCACAATTATCTTTAACTTGAGTTATTCTTACAATATTCGATATTTTCCTTAGTTTCATGTTTCTATAAAATTAATGTGCTTCAACATTATTCTATTTTGATTTCTAGTGCTTGGAATATTTTTTCACTATTTGGAAGCATTGAAAATATATTTTTAGTGCACTAAAATATTATTTTCAATACTGGAATATATTTCCAGTGCACTGAAAAATAATATTTCAGTGCACTGAAAATATATTTTGCCAAGCAATGAAGGATTATGTTTAAAAATAATTTGTTCTCCAAATATTAACTATACAGATTGATGATTCTTCATGTTGTCAACAAAACATTCCAGGTGAGCCAACTGAAGAGTCGGTTCGGCAAAAAGCCAACTGATGTTTGGTAATTAGTACTTAGTAGTGTGTTTGAACTTTGAATTGCTATTTTGTTATATAATATTTAGACTTTGGATTTGGACTATCTGAATATGTATAGTTTGGTAGTGTGTTTGGAAAATTAGAAAATGTTAAAAATAGGAGTTCTTAAACCGAACCGAATTAATTCCGAACCGAAACTGAACTTTTTCAAACCGAACCGAACTATAATGTTAAATCGAATGATATCATTTTTTAAAAAATACTGAAATACCGATACTGAAATCGAAGCCGGAAAAAATCGAACCAAATCCTGAAACGCCCACCCCTACATGTGATGACCGAAATGATCCCTTAACTATAGCAAAATTACCAATTTGATCCTGAGTTAATGGATGTCTAACGGCAAAACAAACGGAGGACCAAATTGGCTAAGATTTTTAAAGTTGAGGGACTTAATTGGTCAAAAAAAATAGTCAAGGAACAAATCGGAAATTTTACTATAGTCAAGGGACCATTTCGATAATTAACTCTTGATATATTGTATGCTAAAAATGGATAGTGGGTGAATGAGAAATTGATTCACAAAGTAAGTCTACTTCCAAAGACTTTAAAGTGGCCTGCCTGCCTTGCGGGTTAAGTTATGCCAACTTAGTGGTTGTAGTACTACTCGGTTGGAGGACTTACCATTCAGTCAAATGGGTTTGACCGAATGGTGAACTTTAGTAAAGTGGTCCGCCTAGCGGGCTAAGTTATGCCAACTTAGTTGTTGTAGTACTACTCGATTGGAGGACTTACCATTCAGTCAAATGGGTTTGACTGAATGGTTAACTCGGGAAAAGTGGCCCGCCTTGCATGCTAAGTTATGCCAACTTAGTGGTTGTAGTACTACTCGATTGGGGAGGACTTACCATTCAGTCAAATGGGTTTGACCGAATGGTTAACTATTCGGATGTAACTGTTCGAATTACTGTTTTGGAGTATTAATTTTGAAGTTATGGAATTAATTTCATATTAATTTCAATTTTAAATTTGAGAATTAATCTCCAAATTAACTTCGTTGAAGGATACAGTCTGGTTTTTAAACTAGATTTTATTGTCATGTTAATTGCTATTAATTCCTCATCTCCTATATAAGCATGGTTGAGCCACATATTTTTTATACAACATATCCTACGTTTTAGCTCTAAAAACTCTGCTCAACTTTCTCTAAAAACCTTCTTGTGTTCATCTCGTGTTCTAGTTGTCAGGCTCATTTGTTTGAGTGCTCAAACATTGGGACGTAGCTTGTTTTATCCGGAGAAACATAAGCTACAACGCTCCTAACACCTTTGGGAAGTAGCAAATTAGGTTTTAAGGATTGTGTGAGTATCACACGACTTAAGCTAACAACCTAACCTTTTCTCCTTTCGATGGAGAAGGGATGATTAAATAGGGTGCAAAACCCTAGGAAATTCTCTTATGATTGGTTGAGGAAAAAGAGAAAGTTGTTGATTGGTTCAAGAGGTATCAGACAAAGTGTTTGTTGTGTGGTGGTCCACCATGCTTCATGAACTAAGGTTTAAAAATCAAAGTCTAAAATAGTTTGGGTTTGAAAATGGAATTCCCCAAAAATACTTTCTAAACCACCACTTAGTTTTGGTTTCTCAGATTTCTCCCGGTTTTACTCAGATTGACTTTTGAATAAAAAACTTAGTACGCGATGTACCCAAAAATCTAGGATTTTAGATTTAAAATAAGTCCCGGTGTTGAATTTACTTAAACGTGGTTCAAAATAATTTTTTTAAAAACACCGATTTCATCGCAAAAATTTTTATGGAGTGAAAAATGGCTATTTTGGAATTTCTTAAAATCGAATTTATAAAATTAAATTTTGGGTTGTCACCGCCCTAGAGAAATAATATCGCATTATTCTCTCCATCGCTTTACTCCTTTTTTTTTATTATTATTATTATAAACTCTCGTTTATAGTATTTTTATGGTAGTGTTAGCCCGCCGACCGGCAACCAAAAGCCGTAAAACCAACATAATAATAATAATAATAATAATAATAATAATAATAATAATAATAATAATAACAATAACAATAACAATAACAATAACAATAACAATAACAATAACAATAACAATAACAATAACAACAACAACAACAACAACAACAATAATAATAATAATAACAACAATAACAATAACAATAATAATAATAATAATAATAATAACAATAATAATAATAATAATAATAATAATAATAATAATAATAATAATAATAATAATAATAATAATAATAATAATAATAATAACATAAAGGATAATTTTGTCATTTTTTTGTTTTCCTAATGATGTTGAATTGAAATTCCCTCCAATCAAACAATGTATATAAAGGATAATTTTGTAATTTTTTTGTTTCCCTAATGATGTTGAATTGCAATTCCCTCCAATCAAACAATGTAGTTTCAAAGGCTAAAGAATTTGGTAGGAAAAGAATTTTAAGTACATTCAACCAAACACCATGTTAAAAAGAAATTGGTCACCTCCAATTTCTTCTTAACCGGGTATGGGAAACTAGAGATGTTGTGGGCCTTGCGCAATTCCGGGAAATCAACGCCAAATTAAATCTTTTGTATGATCAACAAAATATTATTTGGCGTCAAAGAGCTAAACAATTCTGGTTAACAAGAGGTGACAGGAATACCAAGTTTTTCCATGGGTATGCTTCTGCGAGAAAGAGAAAAAATACTGTCACAAAATTAAAAAATGATGATGATGAATGGGTAGAAGGAGCAGGGTTGATAAGCTTGGTGGAAAAGTATTATACACGCATCTTCACCGCTGGAGGTGGTACAGACTGTTCGGCCTTGGATGGATTCGCGCTTAGAGTTTCTGCTTCCGACAATGAAAAATTACTTCGTTTGTTGACGGTGGAGGAAGTAAAAGATGTGTTATTTTCTATGGCCCCTGATAAATCCCCAGGCCCCTATGGGTTTAGCCCAGCCTTTTTCCAACATTTTTGGAATGAGATTGGAGGTGATGTGTCACGTTTTATATTGGATTGTTTGAATGGAAATGCTTGGCCTATCGGTATGAATGATGCTCATGTGACTTTGATACCAAAAAAATCATTGCCAATTAATATGGGGGATCTTAGGCCAAATTCACTTTGTAATGTGACTTACAAGATTCTATCTAAAGTGTTAGCCAATAGACTCAAGGAGGTGTTGGATGGTGTAATCTCGACTCCTCAGAGTGCCTTTTTGCTCGAACGTCTTATAACTGATAATGTACTCATTGCCTCAGAAGTGATACATTACTTGCATCAGAAGAGACAAGGAAATACTGGGTGGTGTGCCCTGAAACTTGACATGGCCAAGGCCTATAACAAGATGAAATGGGGGTTTCTCAAGCAGATTATGCTTTGTAAGGGTTTTGACGGTCGTTGGATTTATATTGTGCCTTTCCTATCTCATTTAGCTCTTCGTCATTTATTCTCAATGTTAGCTTACCCGTTCCCACATCAATGAGAGCATGACAAGTAGCCAAGAAAGGTCTTCCAAGGATCAAAGGTACGTCTAGATCTCCTACATCAAGAACGACAAAATCTACCGGCACAAGATTTTCACCAATCTTAACAAACACATCTTCCGCTACCCCTCGTGGGCACCTTTCGGTCCCGTCTGCTAACCGAACTGTGAGTGGTGTGGCAGAGATATAAGGAAACTTGAGCCGTTTAAACACATGAAAGGGCATGATGTTTATGGCGGCTCCGAGGTCGGCCAAAGCATTCCTAAACCCACAATCTTTGATAGCACAATTAACAACAAAAGCTCCGGGATCCCCCATTTTCGTAGGGTTTCCCTTGTGGATTAAGAACGATGCCTCTTCCATTAAATAGACTTGAGGTACAACCTCATCATCATCACTATCAAAATCCTCATTAACTAATCCTCACTATGTGTTATTTCCTACTTCATAAAAAATCAATACATACCTTATAGTCATAAAATAAGCATTCCAGAGTTTGGTGGTTCAATGGTGTGCGTTGATATTCTCTTAAAAAATAAGAACGCATTAACCGAAGGCATATAGATGTTTTTCTAGTTCTAAGAGAGAGATCGGATGCAGAAAGCATATTAGACTCCATACTTAATTGCCAAAGAGAATACTAATACAAATCAAAATAATATAATAGAAATAAAATAGAAGAATAAAATGTATTAGGATGTAGAAAATGCAGGGATTCGCTATTGGTTTTATAAGAGATTTTCACCGTGAGGTGTAGCATATATATATATATATATATATATATATATATATATATATATATATATATATATATATATATATATTAATATTATATAAGGAATACACGTTAATTATTCCCTTATTCAAAAAATGTACACGTTAATAATATTTTCATAATTAATTAGTCTATATTCGTAATCTTCCGTGTAATATTAATTAATTTTTGGTTATATATATATATATATATATATATATATATATATATATATATATATATATATATATATATATATATATATATATATATATATTACATGATACCATATAAGAAATACACGTTAATTATTCCTTAATTCAAAAAATGTACACGTTAATAATATTTCCATAATTTATTCAGTTGACTCAGTTATGAATTGGTTCAACGAATTCCGATTCCATGTAATATTACCATAATAATATTTCTATAATTAATTAGTCTATACTCTATCATATTTAAAATATTTTTTATTCAATTGACTCATTTATTTTTTTTTTTTATATCAGAATTGAGGGGGACACCCAAAAAAGAACAAAAGAGAAAGTCTCATGCTTCCGCAGAAGGAGCTTGGTTAATACGTCTCATTGAGGAAGCTCCAACCTTGTCGAGTGCGATCACACATTCAAGCTCCGGTGGTGGCTCTTCAAAGAGGTGGAACCCCTGTCGATCCATAGTCGCCATGGAGGCTAATCTGTCTGCCAGCTTGTTTTGCTCTCTGAAAACATGCTCAAACCTAACCTCAGAAAAATTCGCCGCCTCCTTTAAACACAGTCTGCCAATATTATGATTCTGCCCGTGCCAATCCTTGCCTCTTCGCAGCTTCATTACTGTAGCCTTTGAATCACATTCAAGGATGATCTTTGTAGCCCCGTAGTTCTTCGCCATGCAAAGTCCATGTAAGACGCCCCAGGCTTCCGCCTCCTCTATCGAACATCTCCCAATTCTGCATGTGTATCCCCATCGCCAATCTCCAAAATCATCCCGTAGAACACCGCCGCAGCAAGCAATACCATTACTTCTGCAGCTTCCATCCACGTTAAGCTTCAACCAGCCCGTTGTCGGTTTCCTCCAGGCCAAACTCGTGTCCAATGCCGGAATGTTCCTGCTGAGAAGCCTACGTTTCTTCGCGAACGCCACGGACACCTCAACGTCATATTTGCGTAGCCAATCCAATTATGAGCGCTTGGGAGCGAAAGATGGTTGAACACCTCATCATTCCGCCATCGCCAAATCCACCACATCCTGACTCCAAACCGCTCTGGCCAACCTTCGTCGAAGCCTTGTCTCATGTCGCCCTGAAGATTAACCGCAAACCATTCCTGCCAACTGAGGTGTCGAAGCTTGTCTATCATGCGCCAATGAAGGGACTTGTTCCAAATTTGTCGCGCAGCTCTGCAGTCTCTAAAAAGATGATTTAAATCCTCGCGCTGACCTGCACATTGAAAACAAAATTCGTTAGTGGTGAGGTGGCGCCTAGTGCGCTCTACATTAGTAAGGATTTTCTCGAGCTTCACTAGCCATAAGAACATCGAAAATTTTGCCGGCACCCGCAGAGCCCAAACTCTTATCCAATCCTTATCAGCGGAGTCTTCAGGAGCGTTGGTGATGAGGACATACGCAGACCTAACCGAGAATTGTCCCCAGCAATCCGGACCCCAGCCCCATTCGTCTTGGATGCCAGCCTCCGGCAACCTGTAACCTGCAAGACGCTCCAAAATCTCGTTAGGCAAAGCTTGCGCTAACTTTTCCCATTTCCAACCCTGATCGTGGTCCCAATAAGAATCGACAGTCGCGTAAAGATCGCGAAGGCTCAAAGGAATTTGAAAGTGATCATAAAGAGGCCTAGGAGTTAGCCATTTATCCATCCAGAATTGAGTTGCATTCCCGTCACGGACTATGTGAGTTAGACCCTTCTCCAGATCCGCCTTCGCTTCGATGATGCCCTTCCAGACGTTCGACGTCTTCCTTCTACCAACTACATTCACCAAACTGCCATACTTAGAAACCAGGACTTGCGCCCAAAGAGCATGCGGCTCCGTCTGAATCCTCCAACCAAGTTTAACCATGTAAGCGGTGTTCATGGCATGCAGGCGTCGTAGCCCCAGTCCTCCCGCCTCTTTCGCTTTAGTCACCACTTCCCAGCTTGCTAGATTTAGCTTATCTCCTCCAGTCTGCTCATTTTTGCCCCAAATGAATCGCCTCGTTCTCTTCTCAATCTCGGTGCAAATACCCTTTGGAAGCACTGCAGTTTGCATAGTATATACAGGATAGCATTTAAAATGGACTTCGCCTGTGTGACTCTCCCGGCTAAAGATAGGGTTTTAGATTTCCACCCCTCTAGTCGTGCCGAAATACGCTCAAGGAGGCTTGCATAGGTGTTACATGTTATATAGATTTGTTTTCAATGGTAATAATTTTGTGGAAAAATTGCACTTTTTGTCCTTAAGTTATAGGGTGATTGTAAAATTCGTCCCTGAGTGTTGGTCATGTTAACTTTCGTCCCTAAGTTATCATTGACGTTGCAGTTTTCGTCCCTGAGTTATAGAGTAATTGTAGAATTCGTCACTGAGTGTTGGTCATGCTCACTTTTCGTCCCTGAGTTATACTAAAATTGTAAATTTCGTCCCTAATCACTACTACATATATAAATGGTATACTACGTCACTTAATAGACAGAGGTTTTTTAAATAGCCACCATCTAATATATTTTGTTATGTTAGGAATATAGCGGAATAATGCGGAAGCGAAGAATCGAAAATTGAGAATTATAGAAGTTAAATAATAGGGAAAATATATAAATGACAAATAAATAATTAACAAAGGGAAAATATAAAAT